GGTGGTTAAGGGTGCTGGACTCCCAGATGGCCAGCCATGGTTTGAGTCCCAGACCTGATGGCTTGCTTTCTCACTTTCTGTCTCCCTCACTCTCTCTCACTCTGTCCCTCTCTGGTCAAGTTAAAATAAATACAATTATATAAAATAATTATTTAAAAAATGTTAAAAAAGGAACCCCTGTATCAAAGCACTCCGAGAAAGAAATGATTGCCTTTCTCCCAGCCGGTCACTCATTCGTGTTTAGAAATAAACCACATTAGTTATTATTTCTAAGGAGTTGGTTATTTCAGTCGACAACAGGAAGGGCGCCAGGACAGGGCTTGGGGTTTCCAGGCTGGGACAGACACCTTCCCAGGGAGCTCAGTCCCGGGCTGTTAGTCCCTGTATTGGGGTTTTTTCCCCCTTGCTCTGTTGCCCTCTGGCGTCTTCTTGCTGCAACAACATCTCACCTTTGGTTCCAGGTCTCCCGCAAGGCTTCTGGAAGGGCTCTTTTCCCTGCCTCAGGCTCTCATTAACTTGTTCAACGGAAGTGTCAAAGGTGCTTATTTGGACGATGAAGAGACAAAGACTTGCTCTAATGCTAAGGTTTGAACGTGCCCCACCCTCCAATTCATGTACTGAAATTTAGTGAGCCATTGTAACCGTGTTGAAAGGGCAGGGACATAATCCATAATCGGATTATGGTGTTCAAAGGCGGGGCCTATGGGAAGTGATCAGGCATCAAGGTGCCCCGTTATTGGATACTCGTGGGTTTATAAGGAGACAGGGGCAGGGACACATGCTCTGCTCTTGCTCTGCCTTGTCATGTGATGCCCTACGCTACCTTCTGACTGAAGAGTCCCCGGCAGCATGAAGACCCTCACCAGATGCAGTCCCTGGATCTCGAACCTCCACACTGTGAGCTAAATAATGCTCTAAGATTACCCAGACTCCGGTATTTCTGTTATAGCAACACAACGACTGGAACACCTGATGTCCAGAAGCTCAGAGCTTTGGGGAGAGAGTGACATGCTGACAAATAAATAACAAGGAGACTGGGAACAGGAGACTGGGGCCCTAAAAGCGAGTTCCCAGAGGAACCCAGAGACGGGAATAGCCACTGCAGCTGAGGATCAGGAAGGCTTCATGGAGTAGGAGGTAGCTAAGCTGGGCCTCAGATGACGAGCTCACCTGAGCCCAAGGAAGTGGAGCGAGTATGAAGGGGGTTGGTAGGACTCAGATGTACTGGGATTGAGGACACGGTGCAGGCTGGCAGGGACAAAGGAGGGCAAATTCCAGGTGGAGTCTTTGGGAACCCCCCCTTTTTTTTTTTGGAGAGGTTTTTGCTATAGGGTGCGTGTGCTCGCCAGACAGACAGAGAGAGACAGAGAGAGAGAAAGTGAGAAATCACCCCCCAGAGGGGATGGCCACGCCGCAATCCCTTCTCCTCCATTCTCCTCTTGGGATCTTGGGCACACATGAACAAGCACCCAGCGTGAGTTTTAAGTCACCGGGTCCGGGACGCGAACCATGATCTACTACGTGGGAGTCCAGCGACACAGCCATTACGCTAACTGTTGGTCCCCTGGGAAACCCTTTTAAGGTCTACGAGTGAGTGGATGTGGAAATGGGACACAGGGTCCATGGGTGGTGAGTCCTCGGAGCAAGGAACTCTGCTTGGCACGTAGTAGGTGTTCTGTGAGTGAGTGTGGAATCAGTGGTCAGAATTGCATTTTAGAAATAGTGGGAGGGGGGCCAGCAGGTGGTGTGGTGGTTGGGGCGCTGGACTCTCACATGGCTGACCATGGCTCGAGTCCTGGACCTGGAGGCTTGCTTTCTCACTTTCTCTCTCTCTCTGTCTCCATCTGGTCAAATTTAAAAAAGATAAATTATAGTAACAAATAAAATTAAAAGAAAAAAATAGTAGGAGGGATTGGAGAGGGCCAATCCGTGAGGAGACAGGTGGGCCCAGGACCTGCAGTGGGGTGGAAAGGAAGCAGTCACTGTCTGGCAGTCTAGCTGTGGGGTGCAGAAGAGGAAGGCAGTTGGGCTGGGCAGGAAAGGAATAGAATGGGGCAATGGAGGAAGGAGCAGGTGGGCAGCAGGGCTCAGCGTGAAACAGTTTTTTAAATTAAATTAAATTAAATTAAATTTTTTTTTAGATTTTTGCCATAGGCTACATGCACTTGCTAGAGAGGGAAAGTGAGAAATCACTCCCCAGGATGGATGGTCAGCCACAATCCCTACTCATCATTCTCCTCTTGGAATTCTGGGCATGCACAGACATGTACCTGGTGTGATTTTTCAAGCTGCCATGTGGGGGGCTGAAACGGTGGTTGGCCATGTGGGAGTCTAGCGCCACCTGGTGGCCCGAGACAGGTTGGATTTTATGTCAGCGTTTGGATGTTTTTCTTTAACACTGCCCCCATTCAATGCCAGCAGGAGGCATCTCCAGAGCAGGGCCGATTCTGCTCTCCTGAAGCCCCAAGCCCTGGCCTGCGGCCTAGATTTGCTGAACTTATGTAAAGCACTTGCTATGGTTTAAATGTGTCTCCCTCAAAATTCATGTGTTGAAATTTGGTTATTATTGTGACAGTATTAAGTGGGTGAAACTTTAATCTGATATGCTATTAAGAGGTAGAGTTGGGGCCAGCAGGTAGTGCGGTGGGTAAGGCACTGGAGTCCCACATGGTAGACCATTGTTCGAGTCCTGGACCTGGCAGCTTGAAAATTATGGTGGGTACCTATGTGTGCATGCTCAAAATCCCAGAAGAATGGAGAAGGGATTGCGGTATGGCCATTCCCCAAGGAGGTGATTTCACTTTGCTTCTCACTGTCTCTCTCTGTTGCTCTCTGGTGAATGCAACATGTGGCCTATGGCAGAAACCTAAAAAAAAAAAAGGTGGAGTCTTTGGGAGGTGATGAGGGATTAGGACTAGATACAGTTGTCAGGGTGGGGCTTCTCTGACTGACTCCTTGGCTTTATAAGAGAGACACAGACACCCAAGCTCCTGTGGTGGGGTGCCCTATGCCACCTTAGGACTCCGCAGCTCCACCAACAAGAAGGCACCCACCAGATGTGGCCCTTGACTCTGGACTTCAAGGGGCGGTCTAGATCATTCGCTATGTTTTATAAATCAGCCAGACCCAAGCATTTCTGTTATTAGCAACTGAGAACAGAACAATAGAACATCTAAAACAGGGTTAAGGAGATGCCAGGGGCTTCTTCGAGCAGCTTTCTTGGATCAGAAACAGATCTATTGGCCAAAGGCCAACTTGGGTGCCCCTTCTAGTTTGGAGAAGAGCAACTGGAAAGGGAATCTGGCAGCCTCAGAATCTGGGCACCAGGCCAAGGACATCCGTGCCATGGCTCACACGGAAACGGAGGCTGTAGTCTCACCTGCTGCACCTTCAGCAGAGATGGACCAGGTTAACCCTTGGCCCCCAAAGGGCCACAGAGCATCTGTGAGATCCTATGGTACAGGTCAACTTGTGGGCCTGTGCGTGTGCTTTGGGGGAAGGGCTCTCAGCCCTCATGAAATTCTCAAAGGCCACTTGATTCAAACAAGGTTAAAATCGACAGCTCTAGGGCCAGCAGGTGGCGTGGTAACTAAGTTGTGACTAAGACCCCTGGCTGACTCCACAGTTCGAATCCAGACTTGTGCCCTGAAAAACATGCTGCATGTTTGTGCATGTGCGCCCAAAGTTCCAAAAAGAGAATGGAGAAAAACTACAGACTGGCCATACCCGCCAGGGGTGATTTCCCACTTTCTCTGTGTCTCTCTGGTGAGTACAAGTACCCTATGGCAAAAAAAAAAAAAAAAACTACCACTCTAAGAGAGAAAGGAAAGGGAGGCAGGGTAGGAAAAACAAAGGAGGGAGCGAAGAGAAAGGAGAGGATAAGGGCCAGACAGTGGAGCAGTGGTAAAACATGACACTCTACAATGCTCTGGAAGGCTGACCCACATACGAAGGTTCTGGGTTGCCTCTTGAGGCCTCCCTGAGTATACTGGGCATGTGTAGGCCTGATTCGAGGCTAGCTGAGGCTGGAGTGGATTGCTGTGTAGAGACCCCTCCACGGGTGCTGTCTTTCACTGTTTCTCTCGCTCATGGAAGAATTGAAAAAATAGCTATTACAGGGGCCAGCAGATGGCGTAGCTGTTATGTTTCTGGACTCCCACATGGCTGACCACAGTTCAAGTCCTCAACTGAGTGGTTTGAAAATCATGCCAGGCAAGTGTGCAACCATGCTCAAGATCCGAGGAGGAGAAGGGATTGCTGTGTGGCCATCTCCCCTGGGGGGTGATTTCTCATTTTCTTTCTCACTGTCTCTGGCGAGTGCATGTGCCCTAAGGCAAAAACCTCTCAAAAAAAAAAAAAGAAAAAAGAAAAAAGAAAAGCTGTTACAAAAAAAGGGACTAGGTATTACAATCAAAGCACATCCAGAGCTCAAAACCATCGTTCTCAGACTCCTTCCTGGTGCCTCGCCACTTAGTGTGTGGGGCCAGGGACTCAGCGTTTTCCTGGCATGGCCACCTTTCAGTGCTCTCTGCCAGTCAACATGCTGAGGACTGTCGAGAGAATGCTTGGTTGGACTTCATCTCGGCCAGCATGTCACACAGGTGGGAGTGTAGGAGCCGGGACTCACCCAGGGACCACTGCAAGCTGTGTTCCACCCAGCTTGGAAGAAAGGGTCCTCTGTGGGGACCTCCTCCCTGCCCTGTCCCCACACACTGCTGGTGCTAGGCTGGGTGTGGGGCAACATGCTGTGTTCAAAGCTCACAGGGGCTCCAGGCTGCAAGGGAGGCCTCCCGGGGCCCTGCTTCCTCTCACTGGGGCCGTGGGAGGGCTCTGCAGACTCCTGATCCGAGGTAGGGACGGCACACTGGCTGTGTCCTGGGTGCCAGCCCTTCCCTCTGGAGTCCCGAGGAGTCTGAACCCCTCATTCCTCAGAGGGAAGGAACCCCAGACACCCTGACCGCCCCTGTCTCCCCAGTGCCCACACTCACAGAGGCTTGGTCTCACCACCTGCCACCCGGGCACTGAGTGTTTATTATTGGAGTCCAATTTTATCCGCACCGCGGAAAGAGGAGGGGAAGTAGAGAGGGAACCCGGACCAAACCCCAGACCCCTCCCCCACAGAGCCCAGGGCATCTGCCCCGTTGGGCCAAGGAAGACTTTGTGAGATCCCTGAGGGCCCCAGGAGGGGGTGCTGGGAGCAGCAGAGGAGGACTGGAGCCGCTGCTTCTCCGCCATGTCCCAGGCCAAGGCCCTCAGCCCAGGTCCTCCCTCCCTCCCTCTGAAGGGCTGGACCACCCTTCTTGTGGGAACCTTGGCTAGCCATGTCCCCACCAAACCCCGAGGAGGAACTGCCCCCTTGGGCAGGCCCCAAGCACACGCTGTCCTCTGTTGAGGACCCTGTGACCCAGACACCAGGCACAGGCTGCCCTCCTCTGGATGAGGCTGGGGCTGCCACTGGCCCTCTCCTCGCGCCAGCACCCCCTGGCCTGCTCGGTCATCTGAATCCAACTGCACTGCTTTTTCCCCTTCTCACAGATCGCCTCTCCATCTGCCCCTTTCTTCTTCCGCCTCCTAACCCAATCTCTTTTGACCTCAGGTCAGATGCAGCTGTAGTCGGTATCTTCTGCCTCTGGTCATGCAGAAGGCCTAGCTGGTATGGCCTTGCCCCAGGGCATGGGTGAAGGCTGGAGGGAGAGCTGGGCCTGGAGAGCAGGACCAAGCTCCCTGGCCCTCAGGCTGGAGCTTTGGGTGCCATCGTCTGTACATTCCTGGGCGATGGGAGGGACTTGGGGAGGGGCTTGGGGAGGCTGTGGGACCAGCCACCAGCCCTCAGCCAGGGACCTCCTGCAGCCCGCTCAGGAAGCAGCTCCCCAGCCTGGATGGCTGTGCACCGAGGTTGAGCCGTTCTTCCTTCGGCCTAGCTGAGATCCGCTTGCTGCACCACCTTCTCATCTGCCCAGTGACAGAGAGGAGTGAAGGGAGGGCTCTGTGGAGAGGGGAGGCTCCCAGACCTGGCACCTTCTGAGCCTGGATGGTTGTGCACCGAGGTTGAGAGGTTGAGCCGTTCTTCCTTCGGCCTAGCTGAGATCCGCTTGCTGCACCACCTTCTCATCTGCCCAGTGACAGAGAGGAGTGAAGGGAGGGCTCTGTGGAGAGGGGAGGCTCCCAGACCTGGCACCTTCTGAGAGTCCCTGGCTATGCTGAGCTGAGGTGAAGTGATGTCGCGGCCATGGACTCCTGTGCCGTTCGCTGACAGTGGTCCCCAGCCTGGTGAGCTGGCATCAAGCGGGAAGGGGGATAGATGATCCCTGTGTTCACGACGGCTCTTTGTTCCCTGGGCACTGTGGGTGGGCAGGAGTGGGGCGTGGGCACCCTTTGGAAGCAGCACAGTCTGGCTCCTCCTGTCTGCAGGGCACCCACCCTCACGATCTCCCCTGGTCCCACCTGCCCAGTGGTGGCCCCGGGACCTTTTTGTAGCAGTGTGGGGAGAAGCATCTCCCCTGTCCCCCGGGGTCCTGGGGCCTAGCCCCTTGCCTCTCCCTGTGCTGAGGGCACCAAGCTGGGTGTGTCTGGGCTCAGAAGCCCCCACTCTCAGAGCTGCTCCGGCTGTGGTAGCTGGGACTGGGGGTCCGGGAGGGGCTGCGCGTGCGGCTGCGGGTCCCGCGACTGCGACTGCTGTAGCTCCCGTGGCTGTGGCCTGGGCTGGGGCTGCGGCTGTGGCTCCGGCTTGAGTAGTCGCTGCTCAAGCAGCTGGAGGAAGAGGAGGGGCTGGGCCGGTAGTAGGGAATAGGACGCTTGCGAGCACTGCCAGAAGGAAAAGCAGATTACAAGCCGTCCACGGCCGGGAGCTCTGCCCGTCCTGGGCCCTCACTCAGGCCCTGGGCCCCATCCCAGCAATGGCCAGGGCTTCCTGCCTCAATTTCCCTGAACTCTAGCCTTAGAGAACCACTCCCCCTGCCCCCAGAAGAGAAATTGACAGTCAGTGGTCATTTGCCAACTCCACGTTGAGCATTTTGCTTTTCCTCGCCAGTGTGCAGGGAGCAGAGCCCAGGTCTCCTTGCTTGGAGAATGTGCTGGTACGTATTTGTTGAAGGAATGAAGCTTTCAGTACAGATGACTCCCACCAGCCAAGCTAAGTGGTGGCCTCTCCACACGGAAGTGTGTAGAAATATGGCTTGGCCCTGCGTCTCTGTCCCCCGGGGAATCGAGGGTTCTGGTTTCCAAGTTACTCAAAGGGAATGGGGAGGAGACTCCTGGCCACTGCTGCCTGTGCCCAAGGCCCGGCCCAGTCCCACTGGCCCCCACTCCTCACTCAGCTACCTCCCGCTGGCCCAGAGTTAGTGTGAAGCCAGGAGGCTACAACCCAGAGAAAAGAAGAGAGTGGTTAGGGGGCAACAGTGCCCCACTGCGGGGGATTAATTCTGAGAAGAAAAGTGTCTGTTAGTGGGAGGAGGAGGCATCCTGGGAGGGGCCTGAGGGGATGCCAGGTGGAAGGTGTGGGGGTTTACTGTCTTAGGACCCCCAGCCTATGGTGGCATGTGTGACCGGTCTGGGGGCTTTCTCAAGCCTGGAGGTCTGACCTCTGGCTCTGGGATGAGGGGAGGAGGCAGTGTCGTGTCCTCCCTGGTGACCTGGGTCATCACAGACTAGGAGGACTAGTTCGAGAGAGTGGACACGATGCTCAGAGAGTTCTGCTCACTGTGTGGAGGTGGGAGCCAAGACCCAGAAATGCACACCCATCTCCCAAGGCTGCCAGCAGGCAGCAGCAGAGTGGGGCTCAGAACTCGGCCTATGGCCCTCCGCCCCATGCCAGGGTCCTCCAGGGCACCAGGGTGGTTCCTACAGAGGCAGATCATAATCTCACCTGGAGACCCAGGCCCAGACCCCTCAGTCCTAGCAGAGAACTCTGGTCATGGCTTCTGCCTCACCAGCCACACCCTGCCACAGCCCAGTGGGGCCGCGTGGGGAGAGCGGGAGAGACCAGCTGCTCCGGCAGCTGCCCCAGAGACCAGACTGCTGTGCCCCCTCCTCCAAGTTCCCCAGGGGGCTGGGAGGTTAGTGAGAAAAGGAGAGGCAGACAGACAGACAGCTGACCAGAGCCAGACCAGCTCACATGGGCATCTCCCCCGCAGCCTGTGGAGAGGGGTCCACCTGGCCCCCAGGCTTGCCACAGGCCACTCAGCAGGCTGGACCTTAAGGTGAAGGAGAAAAGGAGACATCATTGTCCGGAGATGGATGTGGGAAGTGAGGGAGGGATGGGCTCCGGAGGAATGGCTGGAATCTTCCAGAGCTGAACTCCATGCCTGCTGCTGCCCACCCAGACCCAAGTGCAGGGACCCCACACCTCCGTGGGCCTCTTCCCGTCTCTCTCATCTCCCCCCACCCAGCACCTCCAGCCCTAGCCCCCTCCGCAGAGCCTGCAGCCCACCAGGGCCCCTCTTCCCCTCCCTGAACCCTCCTCCTCGCCTTTAGCTCCCCGCTCCCTTCGCCCAAGCCTCCTCCCCCCCGCGCCAGGTGCAGTCGGTCCTCCGGGAATGTCCCCGGGCCTTGCGAAACCTCTTCCAGAGATCCCTGGTCACTGACTCGGGTCAGCGGCCTTGCCCTGCCCCGGCCCCTCCATACCTGGTGATGCGCCGCGGCTCCATGAAGCTGGGTGAGTCCCGGCGCCGCTTGCGGATGGGCGAGTAGCTGCGGGAGCGGCGCCGGGCACGCGCGGCTTCGGCCTCCGCGTGCCTCGCCCGGCCCTCGCCGTCCTTGTCC